CAGTCGGTTCATAGACAAAGCTGTAATTTCTTAATCTTTTGGATGGATAATAACGTAGATCGTTTTGATACTTAATCTATATGATTTAACTATTCGAATCAATAATAAAAAAAAATCTCAATTAATCGTACATTGTTCCGTGTATCGATCAGAACGAAATCTGATCGATTCGTCTTCCCTAGAAACAAAAAAGGCTATGGATTGCCTCGTTAACAGTTTTTCAAATATTTAAGTTTCTGAAGTACCTATTGAATTTCTGCGTAGACAATTAAAAGCCTTTTATAGTCCTCGGGGATTTTGTGTCGCACAGGAAATTGATTTTTTGTGAAGGAATTAACAATTTAAAATAATTTTCTATGAAATTTGATTCTAATCATTGCAAATAACTATCAGTTCGATATTGAGATTCTACAATTATAATTCAAGGTTCATTTTAACATTTTATTTTTCTCTTCAATCTCGTTCTTTATTTGAAACTTGCACAGTGACAGAATCGAAGAGTCTATTTACCTGCACGCGGCACTTGTAAGTAAAGCAATTAACAACTATCGTAGTATCAACAAACGAACTTCTCAGTTATTCTTCCCGGTAAAAAAGAACCAATTACCAGAACTTTAAAGATATTGTAAAGAATGGACTGTGCAGTCTCAAATATTCGCTTAGTTGAATGAAGTGTAATGTATGTATCTGTCCCAAGCCAGGAGCCTGTAATTTGGCTGTTGTCGTTTGTTGTTGTATATCATATTCGGTTTTCGTTTATTGTTTTGTACATAATTCAGACTGTTAGTTTTCTCGCTTGAATTGTTTTACATTTGTCATTTCATGGCCTTTTATAGCTTGCTATGCGGTATGGGTTTTGCTCATGGTTGAAGGCCGTACGATGGCCTGTAGTTGCTAAAATCTATGTTATTTAACCTCTGATAGAGAGTTTTCTCGTTTGCATTTATACCACATCTTCTTATTTTTATACCAACGTTTATTTGACATTTATTTACACTATAGCTGGTTTTTAATGTAAAACATGCACCACCAGAAACACATTTCAAATAATTCCTGAAATGTTATATACTACTTTCTTGAAAACATTAATTTTACTTTATATTTTCTATTAAATTCAAATATTATAGGTCAATTTATTTTACGTTTTTCTCAATATGAAAAATTGTTTATTTTTATCAATTTGGACAACTTTCTAAATTTTTCAAAATACTGTCCTTTAAACAAAAGCAATACAATTTGAATATTTGTAACGAAACGGGAGAAATTATTACTGTGTTTTCTTCTACATACATGTATACCACTGTATTATTATTACTACTCTGAAATATCGAAATTTCACTTCGGCTACGTTTTCTCAGTTTTTCATATACACTAAGGGTTGAATGGTCATTCGGACTCCATCGTTCATTAGTAAACATATGCTGAGTGAAAGGACAATTTGGCTATGGAAAGTATAAAATAACGAAACAACAACCAGTCGGGATGAAAACTTTAAATACAATGTCTAATGTAAGAAGAGTTCCGTACTCTCTGTACACTAAAGAATCCTCGCAACAACTTTGCGAGGTGTCCATTAGATGGCGTGTTGCAAGACAAGATGTATGTCCTTTCCAGTATACCCTTTACTAGTGGGAGTCTAGATTCTCTCCACCTCATCCCGCTCGACGCACTATAAATATGTGTGAAATATGTGTCACTGGAAACTAAGCAAAACTATCAATCAATAATTAAAATTTGGCAACCTTGCAAACTGCACTTAAACAATTTCATATTTTAGTTATCAAAAGATATATATTCAAAAAGTATAAGTACATTATTAAATATTATTACTAGTGATTCAGTCATTCATAGCCAAGAAATTATTTTCTTAATTCGTCATGTGAATGAAAGTTCACGTAATTTCGAATTTCAAAACAAGTCCAGGTAAAGATAAATCTGATAATAACTGTAATAGTTTTTAGTCCAAATATTTGTTTAAGATCCTTGTCAAAACCAGTAACTATTCCGAACATCTGTGGAGCTTTTAATTACTTTTCCTGCCTTTATCATATGCAAGAGACTGACATTCAAATCATGAATATTTGGCGCATGCAAATGAATATATAATGTGCTCCATACTTGACCCGAGAAAAGGATTATTTATGAATTGATTGGTGTTTACTTTACGTCCAATGGCAAATATTTCATGCATGTTCATGATGAAAACAACTGATGTAATATGTATGTCCTGCAATAAGGGTTGACCGGGATGAAAGGCAGGCAATGTTGGACTGTCTCTGATAAATGAGAGTATAGTGGATAGGGACAGAAACTAAGTCTTACAACTGGAAACCTACAGATTTATCAGAGTTTTTATAGAGGTTTTTAACGTGCAGATAGCAGGGCACCCTCTCTCTACGAGGTATCGAATTTAACGTCCCTATTCTGACCGGACGTGGTTTGGAATTTATATAACCCGCATAGCCAGACGGTCATTAACTTTGACCAGGGTTTTACTGCCGGTGGAAGGAAGACCTTTCTATAGTCACCCTTGGGTCGGGATTATAGAAGAGGATATAATATTCTAATGAAACGAACTTAAACGAACACAGTTATGTGCATGGGTGAAACTATGTTAGTCTCTCTTCGGTTGTTTTGGGAATATCTTTGATGTGAATTTAAGATGGCTGGAATGAAGAAAATATATATACGTACATGTATATGTAAATAAAGTCATGTCCATATCTTTAATACTAAGCTACAACACCCTAATGTGATGACTCTGAGGTTTACCGTTATTTCAAATTTTATAAAAAGATGGATTAAAGTGGATTAACTACTGATATTAAATTTTAAACATTTAGCACTAACCATGGTATTTACAAAACGAAATATTAACTGTACTCTTATTAAAGGTAAATTTTACATTTAAATTTTAGAGTTTATAAGCCAGTTAAAATGTCTCAAGTAGTCAGTGTTATCAAAGTTTGGCTATAAATTGATCTTTACGATAAGTTTTCGTTAGGTGCTCCTGGGGAGGGTCAAAGACATATCTAGGTAGTAAAAAGATATACCTTAAAACCACATAATTTATCGTGACTTGTGTTAAATTTCAGTTCTTTTGTTTGAATGTTTTAATTTAAAATTTGACAATTTAAAAACCTTTTGTACGTAATGATATTAAAATGTGCTAAATCTAAACAGTTATAGATGTTAGCAACACGGTATACATTTTAATGAGATTAAATACTCAATAGGAAATTGAAATAACATATACTTCAACGGGTATGGCGTAGATTTATTTCTACATGTGTTGAAGTGTCTTTTGTGACTTTAAAGTGTACAAATCTTTAACTGAAATGTTTTGAAAGATTGCAATGCATGTGTTAATGAAATAACTTGCTTGCAAGAAAGATTTTTAGGACTTAGGCATGATGTAAGTGTAAAAACAGCATATGGGTTGGTACTAAAAAAGTTTAATTTAAAATGAGCTTTCATTTATTTGCCCCACCCCGTATACGTAATAGAATTCAATTTATAAGCCCCTGAGAGGGGGTTTTGATGAAGTGATAAATCATGGTGATAGTTTTGTTACTGGTCACGACTTTTAATTATTAAGCGATTACAAGTATGTGATTTTTACTTGTTTAATTACCAATGACTGTTCCTTTGGGATTTCTATGAATATAAAACAACAACCAAAACTATCATTTAGAAATTTTTCAAGGTAAATTTTACCTCAGTTCGAAATACATTATACATGTATATATAACCTGCTAATTAAAAGGTTTCAATGCAACGACAGTCTTGTAACCTATGAACTTTTAAAGTCGACGTAATGGACGTTTTGGTCTAGCTACATTATATGTGCCATTTAGTAAAATCTCTGATGACCTCCCGGTAACATTAAAGATGAAGGACCGCAATAAATACGCTGTTAGTGTGATATATATACATGTATATTGATATTGTTTATTTGCTATTATTTCATGGGATTGATATTTAACGTACACCTAACCTATTTGCCTTCTTCAGGGGCGGATTCAGTCGGGGGCGTGGCGGGCGTGCGCCCCTCCTAAAATTTGCAAAGCATGGGTTGTCCTTAGCTTAATAAAGAATATTTTGATAATTTTACCTCAAAAAAAATTTCGCCTCGCTCCGCCCGCCGAAAATTCAAGTTTGACCCCCCTAACCTAAAATCCTGAATTTGCCCCTGTTTTTTGCCACGCCTCAAATGACCTTGTAGATTAAAAACAAATTGAATGTATTGATTATGAACTTCATTAGATTTCTTATGTAATATGTAAATTGTAGTGTATTGGAAAGGTTAATATTCTTATTAATGCACATTCACGATACGTACATAAACATTCACATAATGAGCATTACAGGTATACATGAGGGTCTAGATTGGGGTCCTTCATTTCTTTATTCTTTAATTTTTAGGGCATTTTTCTCTATTCTTTATACGTTTTGTCCATTATTCTCTATACTCCTTATATTTTAGCACCTCATTATTCTCTATTCTTTATTTTTTCAGTCCACTTTTTTCTATTCTTCATATTTCTATTCTTTATTCTGTAACCCTCCATCCACGTGCACATCCTCATAGAGGGGTGTAGTTCAAAAAAGGTTTATTTCGTGAAAGAGTGGAACATGAATGTTGTTTGGAAGTACTTCTTTTAAAAAGTATTTCATAAAATATTAGTATTTCAAAATATGATAAGGTAAGGGTTTATACCCCTCTTTTCCATTATTAGACGACAATCCATTTAATACTTGAAAATAACCAAAATATCAAAGGAACAGTATTTTCATCTTGGAAGTTGTTACAAAGTTTCAAATAATAACCAAAAAGTAACACCTTATTTGAGGACCATGGCAGTCCCTAGTACTCTTTAATGTTCACTGCTATTGTTCCATGCCCAATATATAAGAAATCAATAAATGATACATAAAACTGATGAAATCTTACTAAAAATACCAGCATTCGTTGCCCTAAAATATACCATCTTACATACCTATATTGTTCCTTTTCTGCAGGTTGGCCATAAAAAGGCTTTGACCACGCTGAGTGATATCTCTGATGCTCTCTCTGTTGCATCATAATCCTGCGTGCCTCATTGTGCCAGTGTTGATCCACTGTTTCCCAAGCCATGTTTATTCTTTTCTTTGGAGGAGGAGGTGACAATGGGTTAATCCTCTGTGGTATGCGAACAAGTTCCATAGAGGTTGAAAGTTCTCTCGGAGGATAAGGTCCATATGAATTGGAAGATAGCGATGCTGATAAAGTCCGAGGACATTTTGTTGGAACTGGCGTACTTATTGGTGATATTTTTGGCAGTGTTGTTGTAGACATTTTGAAGTATATTTACACGATACCCTAAGTCACAAATCTGAGGAATGAATCAAAAGATCAATTGAAATATAGGTATACATGTATGTCAAGTTACGTTCTTTGATAATGTGTATTTAATACATATACGGGATCCTAGTCAGGTAAATTTTCAAGAGTCAAATCTTTTGTTATTTATTCAATAAAATTATGTCACCGCGTTTTTCACTCCACTCCCTCATAGAAACACGCGAATTATTCGTTTGTTGTAATCGATGGTATCTTTGACGACTTTTTCAATTCATAACCTAAGACACTTTGTAGTTTTTATGACAGACGGATAATTTTCTTTCATTAGGTACAATTATGTCATCGTTTCCTTTTCTTTTCATGGTGTACAAAAATTGATTTCAGCATGTTAAATTATGGTATTTGATATTCGTTCTTTAAAGCAGATCTTTATAGCAGACCAGATATATTTGTTTGCAGCCATTCAAGTTAAATAATGAATGTTTAATGCACTTTAATATTATTCAAACATTGTTCGATTTGTTCAGATATGCTATATATACATTTATATTAAATATGAATTAAAACTCAATACATAATAAAACTTAAATATCATCTGTTAGTTTAAAACGACAATGGACAGAAATGTTTCGCGTCTATGAACAATTAAAAATACAAAGAAACAAAACAAATTAAAGCCTTACATACCTGTAAAAGTTAACATATATCCAGATTTTACATTTTTTTTCAAATTATCACCATTTTCATATCAAAACTTTTCGCATGTTGCGTTCACTGTTGGTCACATGATAATTCGTACGTCGCTACGGAGATATGAATAAGCCTCGTTTGTGTAATTCATTCAATTGTCAAAAAGTTGATCCGTTTTAAAACGGGTAGGATTACTGTTTTTATATGTATAGTATTTATTTAATATTTGTGGAAGGCAATTAGTGAATCTATTCAAAAGAGAATTACCTTTTACCTGTAAAACTTAGGTATATCATTTTACCTTTCGTTAAAAGAAAGGTTTAAGAGATCGATATTGAAAAATAACTAACTGATATGAAGTACAAATTTGCGTGATGGCGTTGATCATCCAGGGCTTATTAAATCAATTAGACTAATTAAATTAACAAGCGTAATTACGTCATGCAGGAAGGAAATAAAATACACCATTCAAAGCAATTAATAAAGTTTTACTATGTAAAAAGCTCGCAACGATGCCAAAAACATTAATTGAAGCTTTAAAGAAGAAATTGTTTTCCAGTAAAGTTAGCTTTCATGCAGTCACCGCGAACATTAATTTTTCTTTCACGTGTTTTATTTTATTTTAATTTCAGCTGGATTTTTGTTAATTGTCTGTAACACCGATATCACCAATTTAAGTGCCTTTTCTGAATCGATCTTTATTATTCGGTTTATTTCATTATCTCGTGATTTCATAGATCGGAATAGAAATAAAAATTCGAGGTTTAAACAATCTAGGTGAAATAACCAGGAACCTTGGTAGTGGTTGTATCCGTTTGTACTGTGATGTGTTTGTTTTCTTTCTTTTAAGGATCAGATGTTTTAATCGTCTTGAAAATGCAAGAAATATTTGCCACTGTACATTACGCAAATAACAATCTATTTTGTCTCTTGTTTTTCCTTAAAGGGGAATAACCAATGATTCAGACATAAAAATAAAATACTATGTGTGTTTGTTTCAAACACCCAGTATATAAAAGCGGAATTTTGAAAAATTAATTCGCTATTAGCAGTCAGTTTGGTTTAATTTTGTCAAAAAGGTTAAAAAAAAAATGAAACATCGCGATTGCACGTGCTTGTCTGGTGTATTTGTATCTAGTTTATATCGGGTCATATGACCACTGGCATTCTTCGGAGGTCATCTCGATGGTTAATTAGATGGCGTCTAGTTTAATATACACACGAACTGCTGATACATTATAACCAGTCCATGGGTTGCTAATTATTGTTTCTGTTGGACTTTATGCAATTTAATTATACGTTTTATTATGTTATAAATTAGGTAAAACAATTTGAGTCAAATCGGTGATTATGAATTGGATAGTTTATGCATTTCAAAATTATGACAGCTTGGATTGTCTCCTGCTGATTTAGAGCAAGATATATGGTGAAGACATTTATTTACGGTCGTACTAGTATAACCTGGATTTAAAATTGAGAATGGAAACGGGGAATGTGTCAAAGAGATAACAACCCGACCAAAGAGCAGAAAACAGCCCAAGGCCACTTATGGGTCTTCAACACAGCGAGAAAATCCCGCACCCGGAGGCTAGCGTCAGCTGGCCCCTAAACAAAAATGTGTACTAGTTCAGAGAAAATGGACGCCACACTAAACTCAAAAACATATAGATGAACCATAATAATAAAAAAAAAATACAAGACTAACAAAGGCCAGAGATTTGTATGTATGTTTGAATGTTTTAGTCGGTTGTGTTTAATGCCTGTGATGTATGTTTACACAGTTTTGGCTACTGGATCTCAATTATTGTCACGTTAACCTATTATGTCTGTTTGGGTTGCTCACCCAAAAATTTTGTCAATGTTATAAACAACTGTCATACAAGTGGAAGGTTAAGCTAGCTACAAAACCAGGTTTAAACCACCATTTTCTTCGGAAAATGCCTGTACGAAGTCAGGAATATGGCAGTTGTTTTTCTCTTGTTCCGTTGATTGATAGCGATTTGATTTTGTCAGTTTTTATACAAGTTACCCTTTTTTTAATTTGCCTGGGAATTCTGTATTTTTGTTATACTGTTTACTGTCTCATTGTTGTATACCAAAAAGCCTTAATGATTGTAAAGAAACCATTTTCATTGGTACTTGTAAAAGACGTAGAATTATTAATATAATAATTGCTTTATCTATTTTAAAGCCACACATATCAATAAAATCAAAGCTTAGAGCTTTTTCGTAACTTTGCTCACTGACAGGCGGGACAACTTCTAGACATTTAAATGATTAGGCATAATTCATTGCATTCATGCAATTGAAGTAGAATACCGATAAGTATAATCTAGATACTAATACATTAAACATTCGTTTGTAAAACGTATATTGTACACAATTTATTACATTTTTACATTCACCCGCGACAAATATGAAATTACTCTGCACAATACTTGTTTTATTCTCTGATCATCAGACTATGTAATGATGTGATTTCCGAGTATTATCACTCAATACTAATACTTCTAATACAATGAAATGCTCCTAATTGTACTAACTTACCAAATATACTCTGATACTCTCTGGTTAAGTTCTAGTACAGGCGTTCTCATTCCCGCCAATACGCCAACTCTCGTTACCTGGTAACTATCTGAGATCTTATCCTGAGCTGGGTAGTTTACCATGGATCATTCCGGGAACCGGGCTACGCGGTATATCTAACTACCGTACTGTCTACATAGTAATGTCACGTCCATTATACCATATTACACAACACTCCCCCCCACTTTGAAAGGAGTGAGTTTACTTCCTATTCGAATATTCACTATCTTTCTTTAGTCCACCCCGTCTGGTCGCACCACGGGGATACAAATAAATCTTCAAAATATATATAAATATATTTTCCAATGTTGACATTTCAACAACACACAAAATTCCACAATTGCTCCGTTGTCGCTCTGCGGAGTTAATTTAGAACTAACATATCATTCCTTGATATATATATTACACACAATCTTCACTGTAATGTCCAATCAAAATTTACAACTGATTTCCTTTATTCTCTATGTACACACGAATCTGCTCTATATGTACATCATAGTATCCTGTCTTATATTTTAAATTACCTTGCGGTACTGGAGTCTTGGCACCGTGGACATCTGAACTTTACCATAGTGTCTGCCAGCGCTGGTGTCAAATCTATACAAGCTCCATGGTACCACTCATCGCAAAAATCACACTGTATCATAAACAGTCCATCATCTGGTTTTCTGCACAAACAGTGTAAGTCTGGGTTAGTCGCCTTGGTCACATCTTCACCGTTCTGTAACCGGTGCTGGCACTGTTTTAACCAGGGTGGTACTTCTCTGTCTTTACATGGCTTTAAACGGTCATGATTTATTGTCAGTACAGTTTTTTGTAATTTTATCTTGTACACATACGAAGATAATTTGGCACATACAAGTCCTGGACCTTTCCAAGGTGGGTCCAATTTCTTCGCTCTACCTTTAATTTTTGCCGTGTCTAAAACATAAACTAAATCTCCTATTTTGTATTCTCTCTCCAGGATACGTACATCATAATCACGTTTCATGGTATTCTGTGTAGTTTTTAGCGTGTTGCGCGCTATTTCATGTGCAGATGTTATGGCATCTCGGAGTCTTATCACATACTCATCTTGTGACTCGTCTGTTTTAGCACCAGGTACGCTGTACAATAAATCAACAGGCTGGTTAACCTCTCTCCCAAGCATCAGCATGTTTGGCGTAAAACCAGTACTTCTGTTAACTGACGATCGAACAGCTCCTGCCAACTGTGCCAAGTGTTCATCCCAATTGTTCTGTTGTTTAGAAACGAAGCAACGGACGGCGTCCATTAAGGTTCTGTTGCAACGTTCTGCTTGTCCGTTTGAGGATGGTCTGTACGGAGTAGTTCTTGCTTTGTGCATTTGCAAGATTTCACAGATGGATTTGAAAAGCTTGCTTTCAAAATTGCATCCTTGGTCTGTAAAAACCTGAAATGGGAATCCAAAACGAGAGAAAAACTCGTTCACAGCAGCTCTTGCCGTATGTTCTGCAGTTTGTGCTGGTAACGGAATACATTCCATCCATTTGGAAAACTGATCAACCATAACTAGTACATGTGCATTCCCAAATTTCGTCTCTGGCAGTGGTCCTAGAAAATCTAAGTGGACACGCTCCATTGGTGCACCTGCATGAAACTGGGTGAGCGGACATTTAGCCTTCCTGTTTGGCTTCTTGTGTAAATTGCATGTACTGCATGTTTTGACAAAGTCTCTTATTCGTTGTGTCATACCATACCATTGATATTTCGCCTTGATTCTCAATGTGGTTCTATTCATACCTTGGTGACCTGCAGCAGGAATATCATGACATAATGATATCACTTGTTCAACAAGATCTCTTGGTACCACAAGTCTTGGTGTTCTGTCTTTCTTGTCCAAATTTCTCAATATTCCATTATCATCTAAATAGAACATATCTTTGTTTATCCAATATTTCTTAGCTATTGGACTGCATCTGAATATTGTAGCCTCTGATGGTTCTGTTTTGTCCCTGAACCATACCAGTATTAACTCCAAGTCTGGGTCTTTAGACTGATAATCTCGTAATTGCTCTGGTGAATAAGTACTAGCTTCTATACCTGTCTCAGTAATGACATTTACATTTGGAAAGTCCAAATATGTCGTGTAAACTGACATACCAAGTGGTGTAGTGACTATTTCCACTGAACTGTGACAAACATTTTGGTTCTGGCTTACTGTATCTTGATTGGTACTGTCAAATACTTGTACCTAAATTCTCATTCACGTGACTTGTCACGTTCTGGTCCCCGTCTTGTGATATTGAACTATCTGGTCTAGCATTGTCCTTTATAATCACATTTGTATGTTGTGCATTGTCCTGTTTCATTAATTTGTTCTCAGAAATCAAAGAACTCGGTAGTACTGTAAGTGGTCCTGTATTGTGTGTTTGCTCAAAAGTTTTACAGTCTTGATGTGAAGCTAAAGGAATAACGTTATCTACGTCTTCTTGAAAACCAAGCCAACTTTGGTGAGCACGAGTACAATAATCGCATGCTCCACAGGGTAGATTGTGTTTTAGCACGTTTCCAGCTGCTAATCTATTCTGTGGACAGGCTAAATCTGGCAGACGTGAT